TTTGTAAACTTCTAATGGAAAACATTTAAAATACAATCATATCAAACAGGAGATTTAATAGATACCTATGCATAATCACTTTCATAGTCTAACTAAAAAATCAAAGAACTAGTTGAAGATGACAATTCTTTGTATGTACAACATGATGATTAGCATATTCGAATTGGCAGCCATTTGCCAGAATGAATGTTTTGGGGCTTGGCAACATCACATGCATACAAACAGGCAATAGTGGTAATGAACATGGTGTTTATATCTAGCTAAGTTTGCCTCTATATTGCTTTCCGAAAAACTACAGAACAAAGTTAGCACAAAATTCTTGTATATAAATGAAGAAATTCACAAAATGAGAAATAAATATGTCTTACCTAACTATTTTACCATTAGAAAGTACAAGTTTTAATCCTGAACTCACAGGAGGAGTTTCCTCTTTTTTCTCATCAACCAAGGCACCTGGTTTTGGAATGCGTACTTTTATTGCCGGTTTCATTTCTTGAGGTAGTGCTTGATAAGGCTGATGATAGAAAAACAAATTTAAAGTTCAACACTAAACACAAAATGTCTGTGTATTAATCTATGTCTGTGTATAAACTACATGGTTTTTAAAATATCAATGGTAAGCTAATTATTATGCAAATTAGATATTTAATATACACAAATTTCAATTAAGATTCAGACAGGTCTGTAGATTACGTACGGTAACAAGCACATATGTACAAAGTTTCATTTAAATTTGTTGAGTATGTCTCGTAATATCAGTGGAGCAGCTAAGTTCGAGAGCTAAGTTTCATTGGAATCAGTTGGGTAATTCTTTAAATTTAATAATTGTTTTTTTTTTATATCAGAGAAACAGACATACCGGTACATACATACAAGATAACGACAAAGACTCCCATTTAATTATACAGGAATGCAAGTGAAATAAGTTACCTCATGTACTCTTGGGGCTACAACCTGAGCAGGCAATCTGTGAGATAAGTGTTTAGTAAGTGGCAATTTCATTTCATTACTCGACAGATCTCCAACCACATACTGTGATAACTGCTGGGACATTTCTTCTGATACTTGTTGTAATTTCTCTTGAGTATACTGATGCAGAATATTTAAATCCATTTGTTGCTTTGGTGAGGGAGCAGTCTTCTTCTTACCCTTTTTCTTTTCCTTCTTTTTAGACGATGACTTAGTCTATGATAACAATTACAAAATGTGTCAACAACATACAGGCTTAACATGAGAAAATGTTACAAAATGCTCAACACACATTTTTAAAGATCTAACCATATGAATGCTCTTATCTAGACAAGAGATACAGTTATCAAGGCACATAGATGAGGTGGTGCAGCAGAAAGTAGTCACTGTGATCTTTGCAATCTTTCTTATGTCTATTTCGTCATTTGTTAATTAGGGCTAAAAATGTATTATGAGTGTTATTATTTTTTGATTGGCACCACACATAACCTAAACAGCCACTGGTATTTTTTGAGGGAACTAGTGTCTTTTATATGCATCTAACTAGCAAACCAACACTACAATGGCAGAAATTATACCATAATGTTACACTCTGGATCAGCATGGGAAACAAGAAATCTATGAAGTCTGTCAACACACTGTTTTATGATTGATATTAAGCAAATTTTTTCTGTTTTTAAACTATGCCAGACATAATGGCAAACCACACAATAACAAGCCATGTATGGCACAGTCCCTGTTAGTTATCAAATTTAAGATATATAGTTTTGTTTATAGTAATATAGTTGGAACATAAACATGTCAGAGATATAGATACAGAAGCTGAACAAAATGGCCGCCAGTCAGCCATCTTGAAACAAAATGACGTGCATCAAGGTTTCATAATGTTCAATTTATGTACCAAGTTTGAACAAAATCCATCC